GTGTGAAGTTTCCTGGCAGTCCTTCCTGTTCTTTTTTGACTCTTTGTTGTTGTGCTTCGCTTTTGGTTCAGGTGGTGTTGTCCTTTCTCTCTTGGTTGTTCCAGGACCGTCATCTTATGCTGAATACTGTCGCCTCGTATCGTGCGGCGCTGGCGGAGTCGCTTCAGCTTGCTTTCGGTAATGATGTTACTTCTGTGCCGTTTCGCAAGCTGTCTCGTGCGTTGTTCCACCTCCGGCCTGCTCATGCACCGCCTGAGCCATCCTGGTCATTGGACAGTGTGCTCTCCTTTCTCTATTTGTTGTGGCCTCTTTGGTTCAGGATTGTTTCTCGAAGGTTCTATTCCTATTGGCAACCCCCAGAGGCATTGGCCTCTGGGGGTTGGGTTGGGGAGCTTCATGCTTTCCTCCAGCGCAAGGGTTTCCGGCTCTTTCGGTTGTGGCAATCGGTTTGTCCGTCTGCAGCCCTCTTCTTCTTTTCTGGTGAAGAATGAGACGGCTGCTTTCCGGAGGGGTCCTTGGGTTGTTGATGCTTAGTTGGTCAGGCTTGGATGCATCATCCTTTGTGTCTGGTTGTGGCCCTCGCCGTTATTTGCGTGCCACGGCTTCTGTGTCCGTGGGCGCAGGGAGTTCGGGGCTGGCAGGGCAGGCCTCTTCTCCTGCGCTCTGTTGGGACATCTCGGAATGGGTTTGCTTGGGTGTGGTCGAAACGCCTTCGTCCCTCAGGTGGGTTTCCGGTCACGAAACGGGATTGAGCAGACCTCCGGCTCATTCTAGACTTGTTCCCTCTGAACCCATGGGTTTATTGCCCCCTCCTTTCAGATGACTACTCTGTCCCAGATCCATCTTCTGTTGGAGCCAGACGCTTAGATGGTGTCCCTGAACCTCAAGGACACATATTGGCAGTCCCAATTCATTCGAGGTTCAGGGACTGGTTCAGTTTTGTTGTGGGGTGTCAGGGTTACCACTTTCATTGCCTTCCGTTCTGCTTAAATCCTGCTTAAATCCGGCGCCTTAGAGTTTTCACACGCCTTACTCGGGTCGTGATGGCTTGCCTGTATCTGTTAGGCATTCAGATTCTGATATACCTTGACAACTGGCTGGTTTGGGCTCCCAGATAGTCCACGTGTCTGCTTCCCAGGGATTTGATTTTTTCCCAGCTCACCGGGGTTCGGGTTCTTGGTGAACTGGCGGAAGTCCCATCTGGTCTCCTCTCAGGTTTGGTGTTGGCTGGGTCTTGTGTGGGACTCTCGGACCGCTTCCTTGTCTCCTCTTCTGGCGGCTCTGCTTCGCTTCCGTTCCCGCCTTCATCTGTTCCTGAGGTGCTCCCGGGTCACCCTGCGGTTCCTCGAGGGTTTGTGCGGGAGCCTGAAGTTTGCCATAATGGTCTACCCACAGACCATTATGGGTCTGGCTCGGGTGTGGCTTTGTTGGCTGTTCTAATTTCTTCGGAGACGTCCCTTTTACCTCTCTTGCGACAACTGGATTCGGTCTCCGGGTGTTTTGCATCGGTTGCTGCGTTGCCGGCTTCCTCTTAGGGTTTATCGGGGTTCATTTCCTTGGCGCCTACCTGAGCCCTCGCTCGATGTGTTCACAGATGCTTCGTCTATTAGCCAGCCAGGGACGGTGGGGTCCGTCCTTCCGTCGAGCTCACAACCCGGTGCGGGAGTTCGTGGCTGCACTCCAGAGGAATCGAGTCACTTGCTGATCGGCGATCCGTCTCCATTTGGACTGTTTCCCGGTGATTCATTGCCTGAACTGCAGGGGGTTCGATGAGATCCTTGACTCTTTGGGGCTGGTCGCTTCGGGTGATTCGTCTACTGAGTTCTCGGGGTTTGGCTCTCCTGGCAGTTCACGTTTGGGGGTGTCCAATGTCCTAGTGGATGCCCTGTCCCGCTTCATTTCCCCTTTCCACTGAGTGGAAGGTCAACGCTGACTCATTCAGTTGGCTCTGCCGGACGTTCGGGTCTCCGGAAGTGGACCCCTTCCCTGACGACGGCTTCAGGTAAGACTGGGTGAGGTGGTCCTGAACCTCCCGGTTCAGCTGTTGCTGCAGGTCCTAGCTCGCTTGGAGACTTACCAGGGGAGAGTTGCCCTTCTGGCTCCTTGGTGGCCAGCCCAGCCTTGGTTTCAGGTGCTGCTTGCTCGGTGTCCGAACTTGAGGGGTCTTCCTGCGGCTCCGCCTCTTTCAGCAGATCAGTCCAGCCCGGTACGAGGCTGGTTCATTCTTCTTCTCGCGTCTTCGTGTCTGCAGTCTGACTCGGGTCTATCATCACTTGTATGGGGCGCAGGTGGTTTCTTTGTTGATCTCCCACCTGCATGCTTCGTCTCAATGGCAGTATGAAGTTTCCTGGCTGTCCTTCAGGTTTGTCCTATCACTGCGTAGGTGTACTTCGATCTCTGAGAGGATTGTTTTGTCCTTTCGTGGTTGTTCCAGGACCTTCATCTTATGCTGAATACTATCACCTCATACCACGCAGCGGTGGCGGAGCAGCTTCAACTTGCATTCGGTAATGATGTTACTTCTGCTCCGATCCACAAGCTGTCTCATGCGTGGTTTCACCTCATGTGTTTCTGCTCATGTGCCACCTGAGCTGTCCTGGTCTTTGGGCTGTGTGCTCTCTTTTCTTTCTTTTCCTCGGCTTGTTGTGGCCCCTTCGGTACAGGATTGTATTTCTAAGGTTCTAAGGCTTTTTTTTTTTTTCCTGTTGGCATTGGCCTTTGGGGGTCAGGTCGGGGAGCTTCATGCTCTCCTCCGGCACAGGGGTTTCTGCTTTTTTGGTTCTAGTGGTTGGTTTGTTCGGTTACAGCCGCCATCTCCTTTTCTGGCGAAGAATGAGTCTGCTGCTTTTCGGAGTGGTCCTTGGGTTGTTGATGCTTGATTGGTCAGGCCAGGGGTGCTTCATGTATTGTGTCTGGTTGCAGCTCTCCACCATTATTTGCGCGTCATGGCTTCGGTGGCTGGGGATGTGCTTTGGGTTGACCTGGTTTCCCTGTTCCCGGGCTCGAGTCTCCCAGGTCGTCCGCAAGGTTATTAAGGGGACGTCTGAGTATTATAGTGAAAGTTGTTCAATGTCAACCAATATTAATTTTCTAGTTGTATATGAAAAGTGCTTAAATTGTCCCAAGTTTCAGTACTGCAGCGTAAATAGAAAGGGAGTTTTTTTTTTTTTTTTTTTCCCCCAACGTTTATTACACATTTTCAAGTCTCACATTTTCAAGTTTCAGATATAATTATTCTGTGACACTTTTCTGACACTTTAGCATATAATAAAGGATTTGGGGCTTTAGAATTTCCAAAACATCTTTAGTTTTCCTAATACAAATGTTCAAAGTTCCCCAAAATTTTTTTGCAAATATGGCATGTTTATTGCTATTATAAAATCAATAAATGAACTTAGAGAAAAATGAAAGCCCCACAATGTAGAGACATGCCCTCCACATATACTGTGTAAGTTTCATGTAAATTGAATAAAAAAGGAATCAGTTTTGTAAACGTTTGTGTGAATTGAAAAAAACAAATGAATAAAGTCTAAGGTTCTAAAATCTGTGGCTGAGGTTGACATCAACCAATTTTCTCCAAAATTGGCATCCTCACATATAGGCTTACGTACAGTCAGGTGTGTAAGTTTGATGCAAATCGCCCGAAAAAAAAGAAAAAAAAAAATCCTTTTTTTTTTCTTAAAATTTTTTTCCAATTAAACTAATTATAATATTTGTTTAATATATGCTATTGTGATAGCAAAGAGTCGTAGCTATGATTTCAGTGACACTTTTGATTGATAATCGATTTTGACCATTTTTGCATAATTTTCACAACTACTTCAATATTTTTTTTCTCCCTTCCTATTTATGCTACGATGCTGAAACTTGGACCAGATGAAACACTTTTCATATAGAACTTGTCAAAAAAGTTTGATTGAAATCGAACGAGTTTTCATTTTTGCATTTTTGGACCCAGATGCCAACCAGACGCCCCCTTAAGTCTAACCGCCTGTGGTCTTTCCGAATGCTCACAACGTTCATAAGTTTGCTGCTTTGGCTGCCGTCTTTGGCAACATGTCTTGTGTTCACATTTGGGCGTGGGGTTTTTGGAGGTTGAACAAGGTCCTGGCCACTCGCTACCTTTTCAATCTCCTTGGACCTCGTGGGGCTTGTGTTGCATCGGGTCGGCAGTTGCCGCCAGTTTTCTTGACTTCACGTTGAGGAGTGAGGACTGACCGCCTCCCGGGTAAGTCTCTACTTGTCCCTTGTCTTTGGGTAGTTAGCTCCAGAGAGCTGACATGGCTCCCTGCACCCTTCCCTCCCTCCGGTCGGTGGCATTTTTCATGTGTTTTTTTAAATCTAGCCTAAGAACTGAAGGGTGGATCGCCAGTGCGAGGATCTGGGACTCCCCCTTCCCCGTCCCGGGGAGAGGGGGGGGGGTTGTTGCGCAGACAGCGGCACGGCAACATATGACGTCATTCTAGTTGGTAGTTTTCATTTTGGGAGTTCAGTCCACTTATTCGGCTTTTGGTGGCAATATTTTCATCAGAATAGCGGCTTGTTTTAGGGAGCTCACCTTTCTGGGTCCCAAACCTGGCAGACATTTAATGTTCCTAACCACACGAGGGTTTCTATATGCCATTGCTCCTCGTGCCACTGAGAGGGTCAGGATCTGGCTCATGGTTCCTGGTAGGCAAGAACTCCATGTACTTTAACTGATGCCAGAAAGCTAATATATACATACTGTATCAGCCTGGATAGCTCCGGGAAGCCTTTGGATCTAACCCAGAAAATGGCATTTCATTACATTCAACGCTTTTTTTTTTCCTTGAATAAAGTGCTAGTGTGACGAATTATTCGAACTTGGAACCATTAGAGTGCTGAGGTATCACTGTATAGGGTTACAGTAGGTAGTTAGGTGTAAAAACACTATATTGTGCTCAAGTTAATTAAGTTGGACTAGCAGTATTTAACTACATTTACAAATTTAAGAAAGTTATCCATTTGGCATTTTTCAGTCTTGCTGTTACTGTCTCAAGAAAGGAGCAACAATTGGCTGCTCGGAGAAAAAGTGTCGCAGAACTTACCATTATGCATGTGGATTACAACGTTTTGCTGTTGGTAAATTTGCTGATGATTTCAGGTGAGTGATTCATTGGTTTTTGACATTTCAATGTTCAAATAGTTGATGCTTCCCAGAATATCCTTTCAAGTTAAAATGATTATTTTTACCTGCTGTTCCCCTTCAGCATGCTGGTTTATTCATCTCAAATGGGAAAACCCCTTTGGTGTTTTGTAAAGCTATTGAGGTCTTGATCATGGGTTGACTAATAATCATAATGTTTATTGGATCTGTAGACACTTAGCCCTTGTTGACCAGACCACACACTAGAAGGTGAAGGGACGATGACGTTTCGGTCCATCCTGGATCATTCTCAAGTCGATTGTGACCAAAACGTCGTCGTCCTTTCACCTTCTAGTGTGTGGTCTGGTCAACATAATTTAACCACGTTATTGTGACTCATTGCCTACACACTTAGCCCTTGTATGGTGCCGGGCTATTTAGTATTTGTCACCCACAGGCGCATACCAAAAAAAAAAAAAAAAATTTTTCTTCTAAACGTGTTAATTTGTGTTCACTGATCATGGGAAAAATAATAAAAAAATCGAAAGTGGCATATATTGCCCGCTATAGGGTGGGGGAATTCTGGCAAAAAACAGGCACTGACTCAGCGTGCGTCCCAGACGGTCTGTTGCTCCCAGCTGTCAGGCAGGAGTGGCCACAAAGAGATAATTACCTAATTATTTCAATGTCTCTGATTGATTTTTCGTAGTTTTTTTTCCTGTAATATTGTTCCATAGTGTGTAGTGTGATATATTTATATAATAAAATGAGTGAATCATCGTTGTACTCAAAAATATGGTGTGCATATTGTTGATTCAATTATGTTCATCAAACAGTGAACAAATACTTTATCGGTTATTACACTATATACACAGGTTATATATAAATATCTGCATGTTTTGTTCACCATAACGAACCACTAAGTTGCTATTATGAGTCAAAAAGTAGCGAGGAGTGACCGCCACACACCAGCCAGCCACTCGCTGCCACTCACTCCCTCAACACCTCACTCGCCCACATTCTCCTCCCACCATACTATTTTTGCTTTTATTCACTATATACAGACGTTATATATAAGTACAGTATCTACATTCGTGTTCACCATAACAAACCACTAAGTTGGCATGCTGAGTGGCAGTGGCAGCCAGTGGCAGCCTGCCACTGGCTGCTACTTCCTCCCTCAACTTACCTGACTCGCCCACATTCTCCTCCCACAATACTGTTTTTGCTTTTATTCACTATATACAGACGTTATATATAAATAAGTATTTACATGTATTGTTAACCATAACTGTACATCTAAGCTTGTATGGTGAGTAAAGGCACAAAGACGTAGCTACTCACACAGTCAGCTGGTGGCGGCCGCCCTCAAGGCCAGACGAACTAATATTTCTCCTCCAACAATACTGTTTGTGGTGTTATTACGCTATATACACACATTATATATAAGTATCTACCTGTTTTATTCACCATACTTGTACAAGTAAGCTGGTATGGTGCCCAAAGACCATAGTGGTCACCAGTAAACAACATGACAAGTCGTGCAGACGACGCACCTCCCTCACCAAAAATGGCGGCTCCCAACCTACTCCTATTGCTGTTATTACACTCTATACACACGTTATATATAAATACCTACATTTGTGTTCACCATAGCGAACCACTAAGCTGGTATGGTGAGTGCAGTCAATAAAAGGTGGCCACACACAGTCAGAAGACAACGCCACCACCCTCCCTCCATGTAGCACAGTGCTAAATATCACCACAATCCTGCTATTATCAGAACCCTGGTCAGTTTTATCACAGTCAGGGGTCTTCTATAATAATATCATCGCTAAATAATAGCAAGAACATGTATATTCTGACATTTTTAGGCGATGCTGTGGTCACAAGCTGAACAGCAGTGCTGTGAGCTCATGCTGCGTGCGTCAGGCTTGGTAGCTCAATACTGAGGCCCCTCACACCCAGGAATTTGGTCCAAGATTTTTTATTAAATTGGCGTCTGTTTACAAGAACCCTGATAAAGGTGTGGTGAACCCCGTGTATCTGCGGGCCATTTAAATCTTGAGCGGTACTCCAAAACATCATATGATGTGGAGCGCAAGTTACTGCAAGTCACTCAACGCATCATATGATGTCTTGCACAACTAAAGGGTTAACAAGTTCAAATATCAAGAGTCTCTTATTCATCACTCAGAACTGAGTCATCACTGATACACTGTTTATCATCTGAATATATTTTAAGCTTTAGTAACATGTTTTATTATTCAGGTTTATGATACCGAGTCATCTTTGTCTAACAATTTTGTCATAAGAGTATTTGTGTTTTCAGATTCTTTATTGCAAGCAATTTACAGCCAGTGTATTCTGTGGTGCTGTTTCAGTGCCTTGCATCTCAAGTTTTCCCTTCTCCAAATATCTTATATTATTATTGATCTCCCTATGCCTTTACTTTTACTTTCCTTCTAGGTCATATTGTGCACAGCATCGTGACTATCAGAAAGGACCTGGTGTGGGTGCAGAAGTTGAATGTCCTATTTGCATGGAGGAACTTATAGCAGATCCAAAGGTAGCAGTTTGGGCTCCTTGCTGTAAGAGGGATTCATGGTTTCATAAAATTTGTCTGCAGGTAAGAAATCTGTAAATTTAAGTAATATTTTATTAAAGTTTCCCAGATCCCTTTTTTATTATTATTATTATTATTATTATTATTATTATTGTTATTATAATAATAATAATAATAATAATAATATATGGTCATGCATAGATAATAGTTTAAGTGTCTTGATCATGCGGCTGCTAATCTCAAATTGTTTATGTGGTTTTGGTGCTGTTTGTTTTGTAATAATTGTCTATATGTTTATGTATATATTTGATATCCTGTGAAGTATTTATACTAGAGGAAAAACCCACATGCAGAAGTCATTTGAGATGTCTTCTTATACTTGAAGGTACATGAAGGAGCAGTTGGAATGCATGTCAAACAATTATGCTTGTTGAGTTGACATTTGTAAAAGTGAAGCAGTCAAAACCTGCTTCAATAATTATTACAAGGATGCAAGATTTATCTAGGTAGTGTATTCTTGCATAATTTTTATTTCCTATTTGCTATCTTTTACATCCTTAAGATGTGCAATTGGGAATATAATGACTGCTTCACTTAATCAGTAACCCAGCCAGACTCCTAGAATTCTATATTCATCAATAATTGTATAAAACCATTATCCACAGGCCCTAAACATCTGTTGGAGATGGAGTCTAGATACTGATCTTATCCTTGACATACTTACATCAGTGGAGATCGTGCCACTTCACAAAGGAGGTAGTAAAACAGATGGGAAAAATTAAGAGACAGATTTCACTATCATTACACATAAGAATATTTGAAATGTGTGCTAGGTAGGAAGATAACGCATGGAATCAGTGTCTGCATAACCCTGGGCAACAGGGTTCAGAACTTGCCTCTCACAATTGCTAGACCACTATGACATGGTCTTAGATGCCATGCAAGACAAGCAAAATGCTGGCGCAATTGCACAGATTTTACAAAAGCCTTTGACACAAATGTGACCGTGGTGAACCTGTACACCAGTTGATGGACAGTCAAGAGGTGGGACCAAAGAGCTCGCTCAACCTCCGCAAGCCCAATTAGGTGAGTACCAAAATGTGCACAGAAGAAACTAATGTACTGGCTAAGTTGGGAATCTTTAACTTCCTAATGGACAGAACCTATAGTGTAATAGTCAACAAAGTCAACTCTGGTCATCTACTACGAAAAGCTCAGTCCCCCAGAGTATTGTGCTTATTCTGGGGCTTTTTCTCGTCCTCATATCAGAAATAGACAAAGATACAAACTATAGTACTGTACTGTATCATCCTTTGCAGATGACACTAGAATCTTCATGAGAGTAGACAATAGAGGGCACAGCAAACCTTGAATTTGATGTTAATTAAGTCTTTCAATGGGCCACAGAAAATAACATATTTAATGAGGATAAGTTCTAGCTCCAATGCTGTGGAAAAAATTTAAATATCAAAACAGAAACCACATATAAGACGTCGAACCACACTATTGAAAGAAAATGCAAAAGGCAATGTTAAAAATGTAGGAGTAATCATGTTGGAAGTCCTTACTTTTAAACATAGTAGTTGTCACAAATGCAAGAAAAATGACAAGGTTGGATAACAAGGAACTTTCACACAGAGATTGTACACCAATGATACTTTTAAGACACTAGTGCTCTCTAGAGTGGAATATTGTTGCACACTAATAACCGCCCAAATCCAAACTGGAGAAATTGCTCACCTGGAGAGCATGCAAAAATGTTTTACTGCTAGAATCCTTTCAATAAAACATCAAAATTATTGGGACCTTAAAATTTTTAATTCTGTATTCCCTAGAGTGCAGGCAAGAGATACATAATTAAATAATAGCACTGGTTCTGAATCTGTGCACAGAAATAACACCATGAGACCAGAATGCATGGTAGGATAAAATAGCCCCACTGAAAAGCAGAAGTGCAATAGGCACACTGAGGGAAAACTTGATTAATATCAAAGGCCCAAGACTTTTCAACTCTCTCCTGCCACACATACAGAGCATAACTGGCTGACCTTTTGCAGTGTTCAAAAGAAAACTTGACAAACACCTTCAAAGAATACCTGATCAACCAGGCTGTGACTCATACGTCAGGCTGCGACTCATACGTCAAGCTGCAAGCAGCCACATTGAACCGCCTGGTTATCCAGACGAACCAGGAAGTCTAGTGAGAGACTGGGCCGTGGCGACGTTGATCCTCAGAATCATTGACAGGTCAGGGTATGGCAGTCATTTAAGGAGTTCATTGTGATGTTCTTTCCTAAATTAACATTTAGGAATAGCCTAGATATCCTGAAAATAAAATAAAATTATATGGTTTTTATATTAGATACATACATTGAATAGCAAGGTTCATATTCTTCTATGACCATTAAATTTACTGAAGTTGTAATTTTTATTATTTATTTATTTATTAGTTGTACCCAGCCACAGCAACCTTCCCCTATCTACCAGTCCTCCCCACTATTCCCCCTGCCCCATCCCCTCATCCTTCCAACCATTCCTCACTCACCCGTCCCCTTTTCCTCCCAACCATTCCCCCCATTCCCCCACTCCCTCGTCCCCTCAGCCTCCCCACTGTTCCCCCCCCCCCCCCTCCCCCGTCACTTTGTCCTCCCCAACATCTCTCACTCCAGCTTCTGTTCATCCTCCTAACCATTCCCCACTCCATAGGCCCCTCTTCCCCCTCCCCACCATCTCCCACTCCCCCATCCCCTCGTCCTCCCTACCATTCCCCCCTCCCGCGTCCCCTCGTCCTTTCCACCAACCCCCACTCCTCTGTCCCCTTGTCCTTCCCACCATTCTCCATTCCCCTGTCCCCTCGTCCCCACGATCCCCAACTGCCCCGTCTCCCTCACCCTCCCCGCTATTACCCCCTCCCCTGTCCCCTCTTCCTCCCCACCATCCCCCACTCCTGTCCCCTTGTTATCCCCAGCATTCCCCACTCCCTCGTTCGATGCATTCCCAAACGATCTGATGTTCCCATCAGAAAATTGGGAACATTAAATGCTTTGATGTTCCCATCACTGAAATAGACAGTCAGTTAAAAAACAAAATGAAAAACAATGAAAAAAAAATAAAAAAATAAACTATATTCGGGAAATGAACGGTATGGTAAACAACACAGCTCAATTCCAATGCAATGTTGTCACACACAAAAATTAAATCAAAATGAAAATCAATTGAAATCTATGAAAATTCAATTTGTCAATGCAATCAGAAACATTTAAATGGAATCGTAACATATTAAGTATTGCATGTGTTGCTCATACGTGCAACAGATGGCGCCGTTTTTTAAAAAATGAACAATTTTACCTGTCACAGGTGTGGCATCTATACTTATACTTACAAAATGGTACACAACACAGCTCAATTTAGCCGCAATGTCACACAAAATATTAAATCAAAATGAAAATAAATTGAAATTTATGAAAATTAAATTTATCAATGTAATCGGAAACACTGAAATGGAATCGTAACATATTTAGTATAGCGTGAGTTGCTATTATGTGCAACAGATGGCGCTGTTTTTCAAAAACGCATGTTTTTACTTGTCACAGGTGTGGCATCTATATAGTCGGTATATAAAAATACGTGCGCATTCGATTGGAACGTCAAAATTTCAAAGCCATCGGTGAAGAAATTTCGGAGATTACAGCGTGTGTTGCTCTTACGTCTAACAGATGGTGCTGTTTTTCAAGAAAAACATGTTTTTTCCTGTCACAGGTGAGGCATGCATATGGTAGGCATATAAAAACGCGCGCCTATTCGAATGCAACGTTGTCAAAATTTCAAAGCCATCGGTAAAGAGGTTTCGAAGATTTCCCTCACATGAAAAACACAATTTAAAAAAAAAAATGTTTTTCCCTGTCACAGACGTGACATCTATATAATATGTATATATAAACCAGCTTGGATGCGAATGGAACAGTGTGTGAAAATTTCAAAGCAATCGGTGAAGAACTTTCGGAGATTAGCGATTTTGAACAAACGAACATTTCCACTTTTATTTATATAGATTTTTGTATTTTGTTTTTTACAGAAATTGGCTTTAAGTGCTGGGTACTTCTTTAAGTGTCCACTGTGCAACGACAAGGAAACGTTTTTAAGGGAGATGCAAAATGTTGGCATCTTTGTACCGGAAAAGTAAGTTGTAAATTTTTGTATGGTATTTTATTTATACAACATAGTGTGTTGTCTGTTAGCACCTATTGGGAGTGAGACTTGGTTCTTGTTCCTTTTTTCTTGTAATTAGTGCCTGGTATTGGGGGTGCATATGATAATGTTGTTGTGTTTGCACCAGCGAGTTAAAGCAGTATGCCTTTTTGTAAATTTATATCGGCTCCATTCAAGAAGGTAATATCAATGTTTCATGATCACAAAAACTATTGATTTGTAATAAATGCTGGTCCAGAATGTTAATGTTGAACATATGCAATAAATTGTGGTGCATATTGGCTCTTGAACCACAGACACTCACATTGCTACCAGGCCTGCCAAGTCATGTGGGAATAATAGGAAAGGACATTGCAGATGAAGCTGCAAAACGTGCAACTAAGCGAAGAAATGTAGACATATACTACAGAGTCGTAATTTTAAGAAAGTAATTAGAAATAGAGCAATGCAGATGATATACAGTGACCACAACATAGCAGTGGCAACATCAGGATCTGCGGATTGGTACAAGAATTCAACCAACTACGAACCACTTATTTTGATGAAAGGGAGCAGTAGAATAGTTGAAGTACTTACATTGCATCAGGCTTGGATACCCATGTGCATGGGAAATAGGCTTACAGGTTCCAGAAGATGAGAGGAAATGTCAGCACTGTGGAGAAATGTCCGAAAGACCACTGGAACATCATCTAACACAGTGCACAGTTACAAACCCAATAAGATTTAAACTTAGAATCAATAAAGCAGCTGTTGTTGTTAAACACATGGGGCAAAATCCTACTGAAGCGACCATACGATTCATAAATACACACACTTTGCCTAAGTAAAACAAAAGCAAGCAACACTTAGTGGGCCAGCCAGAGGCTTGGGTTGAAACTTGGGGGATTTCCTCTTTCGGAGTGGCGACGGAGGCAATCGAGTATGTTCCTCCAGCCGTGCCGTATGGGTCTGACCAGTGGGCTCCCATCCCATGTTTGTACGGCTGCCCCAGCTTTTCCTTGTCAAGCTAGGGCTTTTGGAGTGCGGCTCAGCCCCGGGTCTTGCCGTAGAGGTTCCCGGGGTTGGGGAGGGGTTGCCTGGGGGGCCTCGGCCTCGTTTGCCCCTCTTGGGTCTTTGTACCCTTGGTGAGAGGCTGGCAGTTCCTCAGAGTGGGGTTGTTCCTTCCCCCTCTGTGTTCCTGTTGGTTCGGATATACCCCTCCCTGGGTTCGGGTTCGTCGGTGCCGTCGTTCCTGGGGGTGTGTTTCGCCCCCTTTTCGCGCTTACGATGCGATACTGTTCCCTTCGTATTGGGGTCCCTGCGTGTCCCTTGATCAAGGGTTTATTTTTGTCCATATGTACCTCCGTGCGTTTGTGCTTGCTTGTCGTGGTCCTCGTTGGTTCACGCATCTCTTCGTACCTTACAATATTTTTGGAACGTCTGTTGACTTCCAATGTGGTTTCCCTCTGGTCTTTTGTCGGCCTCGTTGGTTACCTTCCGTCCTCTGTCTTCTTTCGCTTCGGTTTTGCCTTACTTTGTTTTCGCGTCGTCTCTACTTTCAGCTTCGGCATTCCTGGTGTTTGTACGATGCGTCTGTACGTTATGTGTATGTACGATGTGTGTGTCCGCCTGGTGTACGAGCCTCGCCACCCGGTGGACGGGTGGTGCGTTTTGTACCTTGCTCGCTGGGGCCGGGGTGTGCATTTTGTTTATGGACGGTATGCTCGTATGTTCGTGTCATTTCTCGCAGTTTTCTATGGCTTCTTGCTCGTTTTCTCCCTCCAGTCGTAGCCCTCTGGATGCTGGGGGTGTTCTGAATTTTATATATGGGGGGCGTCACTTTGTTCTTCCTCTGTTTCCGGGTGTGGGATGGCTCAGAGTGGCACCTCCTTCCCCTTTGTACTGCTCCTCGTCTTCTGCAGGGGGCGCGTGCCTCTGGATGTATTTCTCCTTAGACTTCAAAATTTTATTCAGGTAACGGTACATACAATGCCTACTGCCTCTAGTATGCATGGCGTTCGAGCGCACCACTAGCGATGCTCCTGGTATGTTACTTGGCTTGCCTGTGTTGTGTTGCACGGTCGTGTCTTTGCTCTACAGGTGAGATTGTCATGTCTGGTGCCTCTGTCGGCCATGTGCTGGTTCTCGACTTTTGGTGGGGTGCTTGTGGGGGGTTGAGCTCTGGCTCTTTGGCCCCACCTTTCTCCTGACGGTCGACGGTAGTGCAGTTTCCAGAGCCTCCTGGGCTCTATCTTATCTACGTTTGCTCCTGTGGGTGGAGTCTGCCTCCACCACGTAGCGTTCTAGTGCTTTTCACTTTCTATCTCCTCTGACATTGATCAGGTTCTTTTTCATGTCTGTGGCTCTTTTGGGTACTCAGCTTCCTCCTGTGTCCCCCCTTGTGCATACGAACATAAGGACATAAGAACAGAAGAACTGCAGAGGGCCTATTGGCCCATCGAGGCAGCTCTTATTTATTTCCACCCGATCCCACTCATATACATGTCCAACCCATGCTTGACACAATCGTGGGACCCCACCTCCACCACGTTACGCGGTAATTGGTTCCACAAATCAACGAACCTGTTACCGTACCAGTATTTCCTCAAGTCTTTCCTAAATCTACACTTCTCCAATTTATACCCATTGTTTCGGGTACAAAACGTGCCAAAAGGGTGGCATGTGCCACCCTCGGTCACTGCTCCATCCTTGTTTACTCTCTTCCCTGTTTGGCAAGGTGGTGTCGATGGCTCCTAACAAGGGTGTTTGGTGTGGTGTGTTGTGCTTGGTCACCTTGCGTGTGTCTTCAGTGACTTTCCTTTGTCCATGTATCTTGTTCTTTGTTGTCCTGTGGGGCTCTGCCCGGCATTTCGGTGCTTTTGGTTTCGTTGTCGGCATCTGGGTCTTTTCCCTATCTGGACACTCATTCCTTGCCTATCTTCTGTGCCTGGCTGCACCCTGCTGTCCATGAGGTCCCTCGGGTATGTACGCCCTCCACTACACATTTTGTGGTTGGTCGTGTGCATTACTTCCTGGCCTCTCCTTGGTCCATATTCGGGGTTTTCCTTGCCTATTTCTGTTTTTCCTCCTCCTATGCTACACTTGTCTGTGTATCTGGGTCGGTGCTTCTTGACTATCCTGATGTTGGGTGCTCAGATCGCCACAGTTCAGCGATCTACAGCTTCGAAATAATAAAATTAATAAATCAGTTCCAAAGTGAGTATTTTTTATAGCTCTTATTATCGTAATAATGTTGCTAAACTAAATATGTAACCCAAAAATATATAATTTGATGTAAATTGAATATTTGAGAGAAATATGTTACTGGAAATCGAACACAACACCAGGCAGTGTTTTGTTCGATTTCATCGCCACAGTTCAGTGACCTACGGCTTCGAAATAATAAAATTAATAAATCAGTTCCAAAATAAGTATTTTTTATAGCTCTTATTATCGTAATAATGTTGCTAAACTAAATATATAACCCAAAAATATATAATTTGATGTAAATCGAATTGTTAAGGGAAATTTATGTTACTGGATCAGGCTTAAACACCAGCCTACTGAAGGGTGTACGTATAGACTTAGTCTGCGTTCGTACAGTGTGCACCCAGTGCCCTTAGCTTTGTCTGCGATTGACGTACAGTATTTATCCGCCAGTGGAAGAATAATCATGGAATTGACCATTTTTTTACTACAGCTCTTTGGTTATAAAACAAAATGTCTCAGGGGCTTACTAATAGTGCCTTATTAATGCCAAAAATGAAGCAATATTTTGCAAGAACTAGTAGCAGAAAATCAACCAGCACAAGAACAGCCGTACCCAACACGAGAACAGCCGTACCCAACACGAGAACAGCCGTACCCAACACGAGAACAGCCGTACCCAGCACGAGAACAGCCGTACCCAGCACGAGAACAGCCGTACCCAGCACGAGAACAGCCGTACCAAGCACGAGAACAGCCGAACCCAGCACGAGAACAGCCGTACCCAGCACGAGCACAGTTGTACCCAGCACTGGTACAACAGCAGCCAGCACCAGCTCAGAAGCAGCTGAACCCACAGCAGCAGCGAGCACCAGCAAAGCTGATGCAAACATCTAAAAACATCGTGTGCACCATGAACAGTTAGAAAAAGTGTTAAATTTAAGTGTGTACACAGTGTTAAAATTAAAGTTGCAGTAATTTTAGTGTACAATAGTTTTCATAAACTGTATTGTAGTATTCAACATACAGCAGAACTACTTTTAATCAACACAGTGCTAACGGCATAATGCACTGCAGTACGTATTTAATGTAGAGCATTCACAACTTCACGAAACTTCAAGATGGACATAACTTCAACAATAAGGTAAATTTATGAATTACAGTATTTTTTAGTAGAGAAGTAATATATAGGTAGAGTATGTAATATGATAATGCATTTTTATTGTGTACAAGAAAAAAAAAGACACTGACACAAACGCCTCCTGAAGGTCACCTCTTGCAACAAATCCAACGCTCCAACGAACTGGGGTTGGTCCCATATAGTACGTTGAATCGAGGTTGTACTGTATATTTATTTTGACATTTTTCGGCGATGCTGTGGTCACAAGCTGGACAGCAATGCTGTTTGCTCATGCTGCGTGTGCCAGCCTTGATTGCTCCAACAGTACTGTGCCTCTCACACCTGAGAATATTGCCCACGATTTTTTTTTAAAATGGCATCTGTTTACAAGAGCCCTGAGGAATCTACTGTGAACCCTGTGTAGCCGCGGGCCATTTGAATCGGGCCTGGCACCCTATGGCGTATATATATGCCATGCGCACCGTGGGACATGTTACTCAGGGCGTATATATACGCCATGCGCAGTTTAAGGGTTAAGGAAGAGCTATTCCTGATCACAAAATGGTTATTTGACCTTTGAGAAATAGAGGACATGGAATCCTCTGGTGACCTATGACCGCCAGGTCACTCCGCCTTATAGCCTAGTTCTGGCTCGTGACATCAC